ACTTTTTTGGTTTTTTTTGATTTTTTTTTTTTGCATTAAAATATTCTTCTTATTATGCTTTAACAAACTGTGATAGAAATTAAAATTTTTGTGTGTTATTTTTTTTTGGCTTTTTTGGTTTTTTTTGGTTTTTTTTGGTTTTTTTTTGTTGTTTTTTTTGCTTGAAAATATTTTTATTATGCTTTAACAGCGATAATCATTATTTTATCTAATAATTTTTCAATCTTTTTTTTTCTTCCATAAATTTTACATCCAAAAAGTGAAAAATAAAAGCTTTTACTTTTTCAAAACTAATAATTTAATTTAAAATTTTTTCTTTATCAATTCTCTTTTTTTACTTTATCGCTACTTGCAAAAGTATTTTTGCTATTTTACATCCAAAAATCTTCAACACAACCAAAAACTCTTTGCTTAACTTTTTTTACTACAATTTTGCTTCTTTTTTTATGATTAACTTAAATGATAAATATTTTTTCTTTTCTTTTAATTTTTTACTTTGTATTAAAGCAAATTTATGCTATAGGAAAAAGTTTTTCAAGTATTTAAATTCAAATATAATCTTTTTCACTTATAAAATTTGTAACAAATTGCTTTGAATTTTTGTAATGGCCAGAAAAACAAAAAGTTCAAAAGTTAAAGTTTTAGAATTTGCTAAATATTTTATCAATTAATACATTATGAAGTATAAAGTATTCAAATATTCAGATTCAAGTAATTCGAATTGATATTTGAAATTGACTTTATGAGGGGAATAATTAGTACTTTGCATGGTTGTTTAGAGAGAAGATAACTAAACCAACGCGCATTATCCATGCACCTGTCTATGCATTTCTAACTTGAAAGATTAATTTCTTCGTCTAAAACATTTCAAGCCATCTGTCAAGTAAGAGTGATCGAAACAAAAAGTTCAAAAGTTTAAGTTCTGCCAAAGGATAGTAATGAATGACCTTTAAGTTCAAGATTGCAAAGTTCATTTGTTATTTTAGGTTACAGTGCTTCGTGGTGCTGATGGTTTATCAAAAGGTTGTGCTTTTGTTAAATTTGCGACACATTCACAAGCAGCGATGGCCATCAATAGCTTGCATGGTAGTCAAACGATGCCAGGTGCGTCTTCTTCATTAGTCGTCAAATTTGCTGATACCGAAAAAGAACGACAATTGCGCCGAATGCAGCAAATGGCTGCGCAGATGGGTTTATTAAATCCTGTACTTGTGAATCAAGCCGGTGTATACAATACAGCTTATCAACAGGTCATATACATAATTATTACTTTCATTAATTAACTGTTAGAATCGACTAGCTAGATTAAACTTCAATTTGTACAGAGCAATAAAGAATGCAATTTCATATTCAAATATGTACTTAATTGTAAAACTAAAAAAGTTTAAATATCACTAGTTGATTATTTACAGATTTAGCATAGTGAGGTTTGCTTTTTTGTTAAGAAATTAATATCAAAATTTATCCTTGCAAACAAATCACAAGTTACGCATAGGTAATACTCTAATTTGCTTAATTATCTGTTGTAGAATGATAATAATAACAATTGTTACTTATTATTATTATTTTTATTATTATTATTATTAGTCGAAAATCAATCAGTGAAGTAAATGACAAAATTATTGTAAATTTTCAGTTCTTGCAACAACAGGCTACTCTTGTAGCAGCGCAAACAGCTGCAGCAGCCGCTTATTTTCCGGTTGCTGTGACACCTCAAACCACGGTAGGATATATACCTTTATTGATTCCTGCTCATAAGAAAATTTGCATTAATTTTGAGAAATCGTAAATTTTTGTATGTCTATTTGAAGAGTGTCATGCATACATAAATTATAAAATGTTACGCTGTAAATGACATGGCAGATGTTTGTTTGTCTTCTTACTATTCAGTACCAACTGCTATTTTGGTCTTCCATGAAATATGATGGCAAATTTGCATAATCTAACGAATTTATCACACACTGAATAGAAATTATAAAATAATAAATAGCAAAATCTGTCAAGTAAAGCAAAGGGAAAATTGGAAACGAACAAAGCTAATAATTAGCATTACTAATGAATGATATGGTTTATAGTATAATGAGCACAAAGCTAATTTTCAAAACAATTATTTGGCCTAACCTTTGACCTTTTGAAGTTCTTTTTTCCAACTTTTTCACGTAAAAGTGAATTGGATTTTTATTGCAAGAAATTTTTTCTTCCAACTTTTGGCATATTTTTTATAATTGGTCAAAAAAGTACACAATTTTTGACAAATATTTAAAGTTGAATTGTAATCTTTTGTTGCAATTGTTCATTTCATGAAAATGATTAATTAGTTGAATGCTTCATTCATTTGCTTTTAAAATAATTTTTGAAAAAGTTACGTGGGAACAATTTACTTATAGTTGACAGCAACGGGACTAGCTGCACCGGCAAATCCAACAGCATTTCTCACGCAACATGCGCTGCAACCGCTCTCTACGCTTTCCCTACAACAGGCTAACTCTGTTCAAACGATTTCCGCACTTTCTCAACCATATACACCTGCTGATTATGCTGCAGCTGCAGCCGCAAGCGTTGCGCAATATACACGTAAGTTTCGCAGTTAAAAATGCAATTTTTACAAAGAAATATGTAATGGAATATTCACTAAATAAACGAAAATTCACAAAAAATATTCCATTTACTTATATGTATAAAAATTTTGCAGCGTCAACTACAGCTACTGTAGCTGTTGATCCAGCAAGTTATACTCTGCCAGCAAACACGGCACTTCCCACGGGAACTTTACCTACCGTCACGTTGCCTTCTGCTTACAATCCTTTGGTCAGTCTCGAGCAACAAACAAGTATGGACATTGTTCACTTCATTATTTACTAATATTTCAATCAATTAATTAATTATAACAAATGTAGATAAATATTCATTTCAAATCGCAAATTAATCAATTCCAAAAAACGATAAATAAAATAAAATATTAAGTGTAATCATAGCTTTCTGTCTTTTCTATAGATCCTTACAACCAAGCTTTGCAACAAGCGATTGCTCTACAACAGGCAGCTGTGCTTTTTCCAGGTGCGCAAAAAGAAGGTATACCCTTTGATATTGCTAAAAAGTTATTAATTTATGCACTAATTAGCTTTAATTTAATATTTGCAAAAAAAAAACATGAGATAAAATTGGTTTCAGTAAGTGTAAAGTTATTTTTTCTTCATTTTCCAACAATTTTGTGCGATAACAAAATATTGCATACACGCAGCAAACTTCGTGTACAAAGCGTGACAGCAAATAACATTGCTCAAATTTTATGAATATATAATTTATGCAATTTATTTTATTTGTAAGCTAAATTGTAAGCAAAAAAAATAAAAAAATTGTTGTTATTGACAAAATAATTTTGAGTTCATTTTTTTGCCAAAGTAAAGTATATGAGAGTTTATAAATTATTCAAGAAGAAATTCTTTGTTAGCGAAATTCACAAAGCAACGCTAGTCAGTAATTGTAATCAGCTTTAGAAACTTGCTCTGAATTATGCATAAAGATGTAATTGAATGCATAAGCCTAAGCAATTTACTTGTGTATTTACTTACTGACTGACTTACTTACTTACTTACTTACTTTCTTACTCATTTACTTTGCAGACGAATATTTCTATTATTGAATTAGCTTCGTTAGCACACCAATCATTTTGCTTTGCTTCATAGCAGTAGGAAAAAATATTAATAAAATAAGCTCATAATTTGTCCATAAGAGCAGAACAAAGCCAATATGCTTGCTTTTTCATAAAAATTCATACATAAATCAATAATCTCTCAGTACTTCTGAGAATTGATATGTAATTTTTTTGCTTTCTGTGCAAACGTACCAATTATATATGAGTTAGATTTTCTATACTAAAACGTTATTATAGCAAAATTCAAACATTTCAAAGATTGTAAGATTTTAAATTTAAATAATAGATTGTACAATATTTCAGTGTTAGGTCCAGAAGGCTGCAATTTATTCATCTATCATTTACCACAGGAATTTGGTGATGCCGAACTAATGCAAATGTTCATGCCTTTTGGCCATGTTATCAGTGCTAAAGTATTTATCGATCGAGCTACCAATCAGAGTAAATGCTTTGGTAAGTAAAAATTTTTTATCACTTTCTACTTCTTGAATAAAAAATTCTTTTCGAGGAATTTAATCTTAGACTGATTTCATTTATTGCAAATATCTGCAAGTTGTGAGTTAAGAATATACTGCTTTTATTAAATTATATATACATACAATAATTAATCCTGCAATTTTTTTTAACATTAATTATGACTTTAACTTTTATAGCATTAATTATAAATTTTGTAATTATAAATTTAAGTGACATGGAAGAAACGCTGCTATAAAATTTATATCACTGATGGCTGTAGAAAATCGCAATAGTTATTGTATACATTAGCACAAGAGAAATGTTATTGTTTAAAAATTCACTACTGTAGGTATAGTAGGATATTATTCTGAAATACTGTAAGAGATTGTTCGAGAATTAGAATATTTGACTCATAATCAAATATTCTATTTCTAAGTTACTGTGTTTAAAGATCGAGTGAAATTACAGTAATCTTGATAATTTTGATAAAATTTAGGCTTCGTATCGTATGATAATACCGCCTCTGCAATGGCAGCGATTCAAGCAATGAATGGCTTTCAAATTGGCATGAAACGACTAAAAGTGCAGTTGAAACGCCCTCGAGATAAACCGTATTGAGAAAAAATGCACTGTTCTATAAGCAATTTGTTTCTTTTTAAATAAACGAAGATTACTTACATACTTATTTACTTACTTAATTATTTACTTATTTACTAGATTACTTAATTACTTAGTTGTGCTTACTTTGAGTAAATTTTGTGTTGTCAAGTGGTGAGAAAACTGTGTGTGCTGTAAAGTGTACGTCTTTAACGAATTATTTGTTTGTTATCGTAGTAAATGACTAAATAAAATCGTTGAGTTCTGTTTAAATATCGTCGTGTTTTTTGATTTTATTTTTGGGTTTTGAATATTTTGAAAGTAATACTTTTCGTTTATTTCTTATTTTTATTTATTTTTATTTTTATTTTCAAAATTTGTGCTGCTTTTGTTGTCAAATTTACATATTGTCGAGAATGTATTCATCAGTTGATAACTTTTCTCGCAGATGTCTGCTTTTGCTAATGCTTAAGCATAACAAATCGAAACTTATCAACACTTTAATAACTAATATAAATAGTAAAAGCTTTATTTTTGCTATACTTTTCAAGGAAATGCTACTGAATTACTAATTATTAATTGATGATATGCAAAAACTCTCGACTTTTCAAAGCTATCTTGCTGTTGCTGACCTTTGCAATGCTGATTTGAGTAAAATATTTGGAAAGGATGTGGTGTAGAGTATATATTAATTTGCATGTTTTCTAAATATCAGTATAATGTTGTGAAAACAAAATTAGCGCTTGTATTTTTTACTCCTTATATTTGGGTCAAAAATTAATATTATTCTCAGTTACCGGTGAAATCAGCGAGGAAATCAATAATCAACACAGGAAAGAATAGTAAACTACAACATCATATTGTACTCAACAATTTATTATGATCAGTAAATTTAATTGTTTATGAAAAATTTTGGTATATATTTTTTATAATTATATTTCTACGCTGAAAGACTTTATAGTCTATTTTATTTACAATTTTGAACAAATATTCTCTATTTGTTGATATGATGTTGATGTTTTGGTATACAATAGTGATTGTTTTGCAGAGGGAATGAAATGAATAGAGATAGATTAGTCAAGTAACGAAAAAGTTCTATCCATTGATCTTAATTATTTTTGAAAATTTGCATAAATCTTGTAATTTTGTTTAATTTTAAAATTTTGGTACAAATCTCTACTCATTTCTGTCCGTAAATCTGTTGCTGGATTTGTTGTACGGTGGTTAAAAGTAATGCTGTGATTGTTCAAAATCTAAACAGGACTGACTTTCAATTTGCTATTATGACGAACCGGATTTATCTTCACTTCAGGATTCGGCAAATCAAATATGCAAATTTTCAGGAAATTTTTGTTCCTCTATTATACAAACACACACATATACGCACATACTGTATACGTAGACGTATTATTCTATAGTTAAACAATGATAAAAAGGTGTGAACCCTTTGCATGACTTGTTTATATTTTGTTTTCCACTTTAATGCATGCAAAATTTTTAATGACTAAAAATTTGAAAATTATTAAAAATTATTACTTTTAATAATTTTGTCTTAATCTTTTGAGATCAATAATTGTGGCTTTGGAACATTGCAAAAATATATTTACGATAAAAGCAAAAATTTTTTACCAAAAAAAGCAATCCAGCAGTATTACTGTATTTTGTTTACTGCTGGAAAAATCAAAGTTCATTAGCAACTAATTTAGCTCACTTGTATTTATTTTCAGATTCCACGAATGAAAACTGAAGCAAACTTTTATTCTCTGTTGATGTTCTTCGTCACACATTCCAGTGGTACATAATATATTGGTGCTAATTAACTTATATTGCCGTTAATGCTTCACAAGTTGTTTGGAGACAATTTGACCTCTAAGGCCAAAAAACACCATTTTGGATTAGATAGTTTTGATTAAAAGCTAGTAGTCTACGAGTACTTTTAATCAAGTCAGATTATCTTCAATTGCTTGCTACTTACTCCATAAATACTGTGTTACAGTATTATTTATCTAATTACTTATTTACTTATTTATTTATTTATATTATTATTATTATTATTATTATCACTATTATTGTTATTATTATTACTATCATGGCCATTTTCTCTTCTTTGCCCTTTACTCAAAATACTTTATTCATTACTGATTAATTAGATAATATCAAATCATCTATTGTTTTGCAATAATTCAGCGAAAAACCCAAATCTAAAACTAGTTCAATATACGATGTTTTTCTATAAAAAAATTTAGCATAGATTTTTTTTAGTAAGATTGATCTGTATGACTTAAAATGCATTCTTAAATTGAATAATTAATTAAATAATTAAATAAATGTCAAAAAAATGTCTTTGAAAGTCATAAATTAAAGGTTTTTAGAATGAATTTTAGATCATCATAAGGATCAATTTGATTCTAAAAAAATTTTGGTTAAATTTGAATTGTAATAATAAGCGAGGAACTACAAGGAATTTTCCAACTGACAGTCAATAATGTTTGATTTATTATTATTAATTCGATTCCTTAAAAAGTTATTCAATATATCACTCAAATTATCTGTCAGTTGTAAGAGTATGTCTTATATTTTTCATACTTTCTTTGCTATCACATTGCTCACACAATTTTAATCATTTTTTAAAGTTTAATTAATTTAAAAATTTAAATTTTTAATTTTTCACTTTCCCAAATAGTTTTTTAAGTCATGAATCATTTCTATTTTTGATTTCCAATCAGTAAAAAGTCATTACTAATAATTACTGCTTGAGTATTTCAGTAACTGAAAAATTTTCTTCACTAACAAATCAATTTGAAAAATTGAATTCTTAGAGTTATACTTTTTTCATTGCGTATTATTAATCACAATTACTTTACTTTGAAATTATAATCAATAATATACTTTTTATGCTAAACTTATTAATTTAGAATTAGTAATTTATATGCGCATGGAATTTTTTGGATTCCAACAAACTTCATATGTTTATTCTTTCAATAATAATACTATTTTTTGTATAAAAAATAACGTGAATTCAGTGTCATATATGAATTAATAATTGCTATTTTATTATTTCTATGCGTGTGTGCATGCGTGTGTTTTTATTATTTTCAAATTTCTGTGTATTAATTAGAATACTAATATTTTTTGATATTTTATTTGTCAACGCTTTTTCTAATTTAAAGCTGTAGAAGTGTGGAATAGAATCAAACAAATTAGCATATATATTTTTTCAATTTGTGAACACTGAATATTAGTCTTTCATGTTATATTTTATTAAGTTTTGGCGCTAAAACTTGCTTACTTTTCTACCTTTATTACTTATTTTCCTTTAATATCAATCTACAATTATTGTTTTACTCTTTTGTTCGATAAGAGACATTTTAGTACTAACTTTAATAATTGTAAAAATTAGTGTTAATATTTCAAATTGTAATAAAAAATGTGCAGTATTTTTTTTTAAAAAGCAATGAAATTAATTTCATAAAATCATTAATATTTTTGATATTAAATTTTAATTGGCTTCATTTTTAGCACTATTTTTTAAATAGTAAAAAAAGGCTTTCATTGGTATTTGTTTAACTTTTTAAAAGTGAGGAATTAAATTTTTCAAATTTGAATTACTAAAACAATTTTTAAACAGAGTGAAAAATTTAGTTAAACTTTGTAACTTATAAAGTAAGATTTATTTCACTGACTGCGTGTATTACTCCAATACCAATGCCACAATACTTTTTAAATTTACTATTTATCAAAATTTTTAAATGTTTAATACATATATAAAGGTTATATAATTGTTTTTTATAATTTCATATATTTAAATTAGCCATAATTTTTGATTATTTAAAAGACTGTTTAATATTATTGTATTTATTTCCATTAGAATGCTGGAAACTTTTCTTTTTATCATTAATTAATTATGCATAATTTTTCTTTCTTCAGATCATTTTTGTTTACTTTTAATTTTTAATTTCTAATTTTATTTGCTTTGAATTTATTTTATTAATAATATCAATTCTAAACTTTGAACTTTCAATAAAAGCATTTGCGAGTAATAAATAAGATTTTTTACTCTTAAACATTTTGTAGATAAAAATAGAATTATTAGGATTAGACATCATCCACGCTGTAAAATTTTGTGCAGCAAAAATAATAATATTTAGAAAAGTTTCCAAGCGTATAATATGTATTATATTAATTAATCTACTAGCGGGAAAGTTTTTATTAGTAATGAATACGTATTTTTGAAACTTATTTTCATTTCAAATGTCGACAGATGCTGCATTGATCTCAGATGTGTACAGATCTTTTAATTACTTTTGACGTTTTACTTATATTATGACTATTTTTTGATTAAATGATTACTTACTTATGTAGTTATTAATGTTTTATACTTGCTTTAACATTAGCATTCTCGCACAATTTTTATTTCTTCTCGATAAATTTCAAATAAATAAATTATTCTCGCATCAGTTTTATCGACAAAGCAATTACTTCCAACGATAAAATAAACGTAAGCATAAAAGGAGAGTACTTTCTATAATAATTGTTCCAAAATTGTTATAAATTGTGAAGAAGTTTAAAACACTTTTGCAACTCTCACGTAAAATATTCATTTTTTGAGTAATCCAAGCAATCTCACGCAATTTGCATACGATTTTTATCATTTCTGAAACGACGACAGTTAGATCAGACTAAGTTTATGCAAATAACTTATCTGATAAAAGATAATCTGCACACTGACTGACTTCATTGAAATGAGAAAGATGGAAATTTTAATTATTCTACAAATTGAATTTGTGCATAAAAATACCATATATTTGCTTTTGACGTAGAGTAATTGCAAAATTTGACCTTTGTTTCATTGTTTTGGAGGTCAGTATTTATCTCAGTACACTTTACGCATTTCATAAATGCTTTTTCAAAATGACATTTTGATTATTTTAGTACGGAAATTTTCAAGTGATCAAAACGAAAGGTATACAATGATAAGTATTCTGAAGATAAGTATTCTGAAAATGATAGGTATTCTGAAGATAAGTATTCTGAAGAAAGAAGAAGTTCTATGCAGAATTCAATAGTTATTTGACATATTAAAGCTCAAATCTGAAATAATTATTATTTTAAAAAGTTTTTTTTCTTTCTTCAAATTTTTAATTGAATTACTTACACATAAAGAAGTGTACTGCTCATGATTTGAATTTGAATATGAAAATGAATAAAGTGGTTTCAGTTGGATTTCCTCTTCTCTATTAATGGCATGAGTGAAGAGAAGTGCAAATAACTCGCGCATCCCCACCTGCACACTCATATTTTACACAAATACTCATGAGAGAATAAAAATTACTCACTTTTATTTGTGAAAGTTAACTAATAAAATTTTTGCTTCAAATGCTCCATCCTTAAAGGAGTGAGTAATGAGTGTACTTAATTTCAGTTATAATGTTCATGCCATAATTAATTATTCACTTAATATATTAGTCTTATTTTAGAAATATTAAATATGCGTACTTTCGTTGAAATTAAATTAATTTCAATTTGATTAATTAATTCTTTTTTTGTAAAACAGTAATTATTAATTTAATTTTTATGATAAAAATTGCGCAAGCAATTAAAAAGTTTTACAATTCTTAAAACATTTCGTATAGCAATAACATAATTTTAATTTTTATGCGAGCATTTTTGCAGTGCTTCAATTAATGGTATTTTTTTCTCACATGGCGGGATTAATTAAGTCAATGCCACAATTATCACTTTGTATAAAATACTCGTTATTTTATACAAAAAATCAGTAACAATTTTTTGTTACAATTGAAATTTCGAATGATTTTTTTTGATCATTTCAAAAGCTTGAAAATATGAAGCATTCAAAAATTGCGTACGTAGAATTGCATTGCATGCAATAGATTTATAAATTTTTGATTCACCACAATTATGCTTTCGATACTTTTAGGCAACGATTATGTACTAGAATTTCGAAAACACATACCCGATGGACAGACACATACAAAATTTGACGAGAGGTCAGTGTAAAGACGGTGTTGTGGTACCAGCAGTAATTACCTCTGCACCTAATGCTTTATTGTATTTACTGGCATTAATGTACTGCTTTCTGGGTATAGCAATTATCGCAGATGTTTTCATGTGTTCCATTGAAAGAATAACATCAACGACTAGGTTAGTTTACTTTAGAATAGTCTTAAAGATTTAGAGTTATTTATAAAACTTTTTATTGATTGATTATAATGATATAAGTTAAAAAAATATTCTGAAATGATACAAAGTGTAAAATGTTTTTCCATTGAAATTTTTTTCAACTTTAATCAAACTATTTTTTCACGTCTTTCTTTTCTAAGTTTGTTTTCATTTTTATAGAAAAGTTAGATGCAAAAATTTACGAATAAATCGTTTGATCACAAATGAAAACACGCCTGCAAATGAATTTATAAACGTGCGCGTGTGGAATCCAACCGTCGCTAATTTAACTTTAATGGTATTCCACTGATAAATTTACACGTTAAAAGAAAAAAAGTACGTTAAGTTGCAATAAACCAAAAATGAAAGCTTTCAATTTCTTGGAAAAATTTTACTCTTTTTTTAACAAAGTTTAAAATTTGAAAAAGTAATTTAGTTTAGGCATTGGGTAGTAGCGCTCCAGAAATTTTACTTTCAATAATCGAAATAATAACTAATAATTTCCGGGTAGGTGATCTCGGACCTGGAACGATCGTTGGTTTGCTTTTGAATTTATTATTTTACTATCATTATTATTCATATTCATATTCATATTATTATTATTATTGTTATTATTATTACTATCATCATTAATAGAACTATTATTATCATTAATAGAAAAAATTTGTATAATTTAGCAAATTATTCAAATTTTAGGCTCAGCGGCGTTTAATTTGCTATGTATCACAGCAGTATGCATATTCTGTGTATCTTCGCCTAAAACAAAACGGATTGAAGAGATTCAAGTCTTTGCTGTAACTTCACTGTTCAGTTGTTTTGCATATATTTGGCTTCTAATTGTGCGGTTTAGAGATTTGAAGCTTTTTCGTTTTTTTACTAATTCAATTTTTGTACTTCACTTTCACTTACGTTTTCAAGCATTTTGTAAAAGTTTTGGTCTATTAAATAGTAAAATTATTGATTTTAATACTGTATCAACTTGTAAAATAACTATAATAACAAAAAGAGAAAAATTATTTTCACCAAGTTTTTCTTGCATATAAATGCATTAATTTGTTTATTTCTACAATTAATTTATAACGATTTTGATTAACTTGAAATTCGCTTTCTTAAGTTTACTATTACACTGCAAAGCATTATAACTTTTATTTTTGTTTTAGTATGATAGATTTTGTTTAGATACTTGTTGTAATATCACCAAATGTTGTGGAGCTTTGGGAAGCGTTGATGACCTTAGCATTCTTTTTAATGCTAATCGTAATTGCATATGCGACAGATAAAAAAATATGCAAACCAAGACGTACGTGGTTACGTGGATTGCAGATGGATAAATCAAATCATCAGAAATTTCAAGAACCGATTGATGATGCTGATAATTATTTGAAAAAGTTGAGCAGTGAGATGGCCTGTAAAAATCATGAGGTGAAATTCCTTTTCACTGTCAATTTTTATAACGAAAAGCTAATTTCCAGTTGATTCAGAATCTAAATTAAGATTTAGTATTAATAGAAATGATAAATTTCATATTTTGATCTCTTGATTTTAGTAATTTCAATTTAATTCTTAATACTTAAATTCGAGGTTAGATAAAATGTTTATTACTATACTAGCCAATGGATATGCTAGCTGATAACCGTACACTTCGGCAAATGTCTCAGTACATATCTCAAACTTATCCAAATCTGTCCTCAGATGAACAGTCTAAGTTACTTGCATCTAAACTAACTCAATTACAGGTTTCTTTGAATAATTGCAGATATTAATAACTTTTCATAATTATGAGCATAACGAAGGGGTCAAAAATATTATTGATCACAAAATTTCTCAAAACTTTTCAGATTGTTAGATAAAAATGATTGGAATGAAAAATAATAGACAAGATATATGAGTTAAGCCTTCAAAATCAAAACTTTAAATTTTGTTATTTCGTATTATGTATATAAATACATTTTCAAAAGTACTAATATTCGAAGTTTTTAGAATTATTTGAAGTCAAATAAGTAAGTATGTGAGATAACTTATTCAGCGAAACGTTATTGATCTATTCAATATTATTTGAACTTTCAACTTTTCTAAATTAATGGAAAAAAATAGCGCACTCCAAGTTATTCATTTCTATGAAAAATTAGCAAACTATGAAAGTTGAAGTAAAATGTTCAAAAGAAAAACAAAGAAATTAGCTAAGACTTTTATTGCATTATTCTTTAAATATTTTCCAGCAAGTAATTACAGTCAATTTTTGTGTAAAATGAACTTGTTGAAGGGTCACGACCACTTGTGGTATCGCATTTTAGCCATCCGAAAATTAATGGCAGCCGTGCGAAAGACAGAATTCGATTGGAATTCAAATAAAATTCATCAAATGTCAGCAAATATAAGTAAAGGTAAAGTTATGATTAGCTTTAAAAACACTTTAAAAAATTAAAAACATTTAATTAAATTGCAAAAAGCAATTACTTGATTGTTTTTGAAAAGTAAAAATAAAATCGCAGTTTTCAGCTTCAACAATAATAGAGTTTTCGGCCCGCGTTTACTCGATTAAAAGAGGAAGCAGCAAAGTAAAGTTAAAAGTAAGTTATTGATGTTGAGAAGGGACTTAGCACTTAGAATAAAAAATAATTTAAGAGTAAAAATAAGATTTTTGCGAATGTCAAGTAAAATATTACTTGAAAGTTTGACTAAATCACAAAAATGTTAGCAAATTATGATTATATTAATTAACATAGCAGATAATTTGTATTTCAATGAATGAGAGAAACAAATGCCTGAACAAGTATAAACGTTACAACAACAAATTTTCTAATTAGTGTATGCAAGAGTAATTATTGGATTAACAAATTGATTTTGATTTTGGAAAAATCCATTATTATTATCATTATTATTATTATTATTATTATAAAATGTCATTTAAATATAAATTTATTCATATTTTGCAGGTTATTCGCAGTGGTCCTATCGACATTCCACTCATTTTTCGCTATTCGACGAAAAATGGTGTGGCCAAAAGTGGTCTACACTTTTTATCAAAATCGGAAACTGTAAAAAATTATTAATACTGTCATTTTATAAGATATATTGGGCAACAAAGTGATAAAAATTTTAAATAAAATTGTAAATTAGCATAAATTAGTAATTCATTTTTTTATCAGTTAATTGAATTAAAGCTTGAATTTTTAATAATTTGCTTCAATAGCAAAACTTTTTAGTTAAAATTAGCTTGCAATAATATTTGAGATGCAATTCACAACGAACGAAAAAATGAAAGATATTTTCGTTGATTTGGTAGAGAATGCAAACTGGCAGCCTGGCGATGTGTTCTATGTGCTTCTGAAATTGGTAAAAAGAGCTTTGCTTATTATTAATTTAATTATTAAATAAAGTTTTTGAAGCAAAATAACCAAATAGAATTTGGATCTCACAGAGTTGGTGAAAGTTTAATTTCTATATGTAACACTTTTTACCAAAATTAGAATTTAAATTACAGTCTTACTTCTTCCCACAATAATTACTCAGAAAATGGTAATTAATAAGTTTAATAATTTAATTAATATTTAATTTTCGTACATACATGTAGATGAAAATTAAAAAACATGAGCACAAAAGGGATTAATAATAATATGAAATTATCATTGAAATCAATACTTCCAAGAATACTTAAGGTTGAAGATAATGATGACAAAAAGGAGAAAAACGTGAAAATTGGACAGACGTACATTGCTAGCGTTCGATTTCCTGATGATTCAGCAAGTTTTGTCGGTGAACCAATGGTGCACTTCGTGAAGCACAATTACGTATGATTCTTGTTGTGTTTTATATCAGACATGCATAGATAAGTTGAAATTTGCATTTTAGATAGCAAATGAAAATCAAAAATATGTACGAGCATTTATTACTCGTATTGGCCACCACAATGAACAAACGTTTAGTGTTTACTACGAAACAGAATCTGTCACGGCAAAATGTAACGAAGATTATGAAGGAATCAGCGATGGAATTTTGACGTTTTCGGAAAACGAATATGAAAAGTATATTGACGTCAACATTTACGATGATTTGCTTGAAGAAAAAGACGAAACTTTCAATATTAATCTCATTTCTGCTACTGGAGGTTATGTATTTTATGCTTATTGCCAAAATTCTTACGAATATTTATTTCTCGTTATCCAATTTATTATAAAATAAAATAAAATAAAATTTATTACAAAAGTTAATTTTTTTTCTAATATTTATTTATTAAAATAAATATTATTATTATTATTATTGTATTTACTAGTTCTATTATTACTATAAGTACTATTTTTTTTTGCTTTCTACTATTATTCATCAATAATCAGATAAAAATCAGTAACTTTAAAAACAGCAACGTATTTTTTTTGACTTTTCAGTGGTAACAATCGGTCCTAACAAGCGTACTGTAATCACTATTGTTTGTGATGATAATATGTTAAGAAACATTAGGAACCTTCGCAAACTCACTTCACATTATATGCTAAAAATGAGGCATGAGACAAATTCATGGCTGGAACAAGTAAGTTAGGCCACAAATCAGCATCTGCTTTACCTTATCATCATCAAAATCGTAATTCATTATTATTATTATTATTATTATTATTTTAATATGTTATGATTTTGTATTTTAGATTAGTGAAATTGCTGCAAATCAATAATGCTAATTATTTATGCATAGAAATATTCACGTCTACTACCATTTTCATTATTCATACTTCCTGCACAAAACTATTATTAATATTTCCATTCTCGTTATATTTATCACTGTACTTAGCAGTAAAATTATATTCTAAGAGTAAAGTTATTAGTTTTACATTAGTGTTGTCAATGTCATGCATCGAAATTTGTTGTATATTCTTGATATAGTATCGATTATTCTAATTCAGATCATTGAATCGATCAGCGTTAATGCTGGTGATCTCTCGAATGCTACACTAGCTGATTGTTTGATTCATATACTTGTATTTCCATGGAAGGTTTTAGCTGCTTTAATACCTCCAGCCTCATTTATGGCTGGATGGTCTGCTTTTATTTGTGCATTAATTTTAATTGGCTTAATTACAGCTATTGTTGGTCAGGATTTTTTGAATTATTTAGTAAAAATTTGAACAATATTAATATAGATAAATAATATGCTTTATGGTGGGAATGTTCATTCGGAACTGCATATTATGATTATGTGAACTTTAATTTTTGGTTTGTTATGATTTCAATAAATATAAGATTGTTTTTGTTATAATTTTTAAAATTGGACATGTAAATAAATTCAGGTGACTTGGCAAGTATATTTGGTTGTATGGTTGGCCTGCATGATGCTGTAACGGCAATTACGCTAGTTGCGCTTGGTACTAGTCTACCGGACACGTTTGCATCAAAAATTGCCGCTCAAAATGTTTATAATTTTGTATTTAATAGTTTTTATCAACAATATAATAGCTAACTAATTACTGATTTCTAATTTTGATTACTTAATTGCTTTTTTATTAATTATAATCTTGTAAATGTAAATTAATTTTATATAGTAGAAGATATCACAATTAGCTTATATGTAATGATTTAGTGAATTATTTCTGCAAGAATTTCTTGCAGGATATATCAGCTGACAATGCTATAGGCAATATTACGGGTTCAAATGCCGTAAATGTTTTCCTTGGGCTTGGATTACCATGGACTATTGCTGCTATGTACTGGTTCATGCAGAACAAAGTATTCATAGTCGATGCTGGCAATTTGAGTTTTAGGTTGACTTATCTTTATTAATACTAAATAATAATAATAACTATTATTATAGTTATAATTATTCTTATTATGGTTATTGCACTTATTTCCATTTTCAACTGTTATAATTCATAATTAAAATAATTAGCAAAACTACAATTTCTTTGTTTTCGAGCATTTTAATGCTATAATTTCAGTGTTGCAATATTCCTGGCTACATCAGCGTTATGCTTAGTGCTTTTAATAACTCGACGACATTTGACATTCTTCGGTAAAGGTGAACTAGGAGGTCGCATATATCCCAAAACTCTTAGTGCATTAATACTTATTATTTTATGGCTTGCTTATATATTTTTGTCTATTTTACAAACTTTAAATTATTTGTCTATTTGATAAAATATTTGGACAGATATGTTGCGAATTTTAATCATTAATACGTTTTTCGCTATTGCTGAGTACTTTTGTTGATTAAAGTAAATATATTTCTACCTTAGAGACAGCACCTCTTTTATTAGGTCAAATTTTATTTTTACTAAACCAAATTTAGCTGAGAAATAATATTTTACTGCTTTTTCTTCATATTTCATGCAATGCTTTTGACAACAATTTCAATTAAAGCAAAAATTTCCTTCGAAAACTTTCAACTTATTCTTATTTTGATTTAATTTGGTCTTTTTCTTTTTTTGAATAAGAAACACTTTTATTCTTGCATTCATATATATTATAAACACTTTCAAACTCATAATATTACTTATTCATCGCTGATTTTTTGAAAACTTTAAACATTTTTAGTTGAATTCCCAAGCATGCGTGTTCTTTATTATGTGTTTTTGAATTAATTGCTAATTGAAGCTAACAAACGCTAATAACAACTACTTCTTTTCGCTGTGTTATTCAAATTTACAATTGGATATGAGAAAGTATTTGAGTTTTTAGTACTTTGAAAAATTATTTTAACTCAAATTTTCAAACATTTTCAAGCGTACATTTTTAAATAACAAATATAAAATCACAAATACATTATTGTTTGCTGCATTTTGAATATTTTTAACTGCGTGAATCTTCAAAATATGCATCAAAAATATTTAATAATTATTGTATTACATCCATTTTCTATCAGAAATCTAATTTAAATCTAATAATTGCATCCATGCAGACAAGACAGTAATTGTCGAATCAAACATTACTTTGCAATTAATTAGCAAAATTTCATGCATAATATTAATTGTGAATAATCGGTTATTATTTGTGTAATAATTAATATCTTCAATGAGTCATTTACCCCATAGTCCCGTTGCTTTGTCCCACGATAATCTGAAATTTATTTAGATATGTACAAATTCAGAATTAAGTTATACACATTTTAAGGCATTTAAAAATTATTATTCAAACAAAACAAAGATTAAAATATGTATTAAAAAAAATTTGTTATACATACCTTTTACCCCAAAGTGAATTTAATTTATTCCACTGATTTTCTATTCTTTTTGCTAGCTCTAATTCCTAAAATATTGCTGCATTCTTGATAGAAATCAAAAAAATATGTGTTAAATTTGCAAATATGCAAATTATTTCCATGAAAATTAAGTAAAATTTTGAAATGATTAAAATAATTCTTAGAAATTCTACATTAACATTGATTTTACATTCTAAATATTCAAATTTCATGCATTACCAATCAAATAATACTTTCAGGACTTAAACAAATGGTTATGAGCTAAAAAGTTTTATTAAATTTATAAAATTTATGATTTTATTTTTAGTTTATTTATTGAAAATTTCAAATAGTTTGAAAACAATAATAAGTTCTAAAATATTAATGCCAAATATTTTGTAATTATTAAATTTAATAGCAAATATTTTACCTGAAAATCGTCTGGAGGAAAGGATCGTTTTCCCCACAAACCAGTTGCTTTATTCCAATTATTGGCTTTTGTTTGCAGTAGAAAATTTTTATCTTGCGGATAGTACTTATCCTCAAAACTGTAGATCGTAGCAGTGTACATTGCGATGATCAAAATGTATAAAACTGTTTTATTCAAAGTTGTGCCAAAGGTCACAAATGTTTTTGCTGCTTTTTTCTCCATTTAATCTGTATATTATTTTTAATGCAATTTTTTTGAAGACAAAAAAATAAATTGACATAAACTTTTATTATTTTTTGCCAAATATAAATACATTTGAATGATTTGTTGCTTTAAATCAAATTATATTTTCTATAATTTAAAATTTTTGGATTAAAAGCTTTAATTAAAATACTGAAATAAAGACTACTTACTCGAAACAAGAAAAAATATACTTGTTACAGTTATAAATTAATAATTTTTTTCATTTCAAAATTATACGCAAGTTTTGAAGCCTTAGAATTAGAGTACACATTATCTGATAATAGATCCGCAGATTATCTAATAAGATAGTTTCATTAAAAAAATTAGATGAAAAATCATAAGCTGCAGAAAGTTGAATGTAAAAAATAATGCTACGGAAAGCAATTACGGAAGTTGTCATAACTTATCTTCAAGAAACCGTTTTTGTGAATCCTAAAACTTATCTTTCATCACTCTGCAATCAATTCAGAACACATAGTAACAAGTCTTTTGAAGATACCTAGAATTGGTTTCTAAAATCCAGCAAGAAAGGAGATTCAAGTTTGAGCTTTGGCTTCAATCTATGGATTAATATATTTTTGAGTTTCACCTGAAGTAAGCCAAGAAAAAGTAGCTTCAGAATCCAACAAAGCTAAAAATGATATCAACAAAATATCAGATTCATTTTTTTATAATAACAAAATTAACATTTCAAAAAACTTTGCTAATAAATAATTTTTTCGTCAAATTATAAACTTAAAATATTCTAACTGCAATGAGTACATCAAAATTCAAAGTTCTAACTCCAATTCTATTTTTAGACACAAATTTCAGAAATTTCATTGCGTTGCATTAAAATAAATCAGTGATCAAAAATTAATTTTCTGAAAAAGAGTAATTTATTTTTAGAATTAATATTTCTTGCTTTTCTGCGCTAGATTTAGGGATATACGAGTATATGAAACTGAAATAAAATTATAACTAAGACTGATCTGATTGAGTTTTTTAGACAGTTTAAAATTTATCCTTAAAAAAATCAGGAATAATTCATTCTAGCTAGCTTGCACTTGACAAGTTTCAATTCTAATTAAATATAAAATTACAACGGTTGGAAATAAGTTTAAATTTATGTGTCAGTGAATGAGACACAACTTATCTGCGTGAAGTTTTAACAGAAAATTAAGTTACTTTATTTAACCATTAATAGTTTATTAAATTTTTTTTTTAAATTCAGAAAATTTCAAAAACTTTTCTGTTTAAATTCAAGTTTTAATTGTTTTCTTGCATAATTTAATCCAAAAAATTGCGGGAAAAATTTAGATTAATTTTATTGCTAATTTAGTCAGTAAAACTGAGCTGCAAAAGCGTTAGACAAACTTTATTAGTATTTTTAATCATTTAGTTTTTATGCTATCTCAAGCGTCGATGGCTAGTAAAAATTCTAATATTAATAATTTGCATTCTTTGTGTCACTAAAATGTCTGTGAACTAATTTTTTGTCTAGAAAATATGCTTTATTCGATTATATTAAACAGTTTCTATCAATAAGTTCGAGATATAATACGATAATTGCAATAACTCATATCCTTTTTTAAAGATTATATTTTGGCTAAAAAATATTATTATTAGCTAATCACCTGAATACATTTTTCTTATATGAATTACTGAGCAAGAAGGATAATCTCAAAATTGTAATATTATTCATTGACTAAAACATTCATTCTGTGTTGTTTCAACTGTAATCAAGTACATAATTACTTAAATACTTAACAAATTATTCAATTAATTACTAAAGTTGCTATTTTTAAATAAAAATTAAGAATATAAAGTATTATTAACTGAAATGACAACTGCACTAACTCGATGCAAGTAATATCTAAGGCAAGTTTACTTCTAGACTACCTTTTAAGCAAAAACTGAATAACTTTACTTTATTCATTCATCTATTGTAAGCACAATAAAGGCAACAATTAAGTTATAACACTTTCAATAGATATTAATTATACTTTTAACAAAATGAATAAAAGCGCAATTCTTAATTCCAAAATTCAAAGCTATTCTGCACAGAAAATAATTTGAAATTATATATTTTCCGCACATTCATTGCAAAAAGCTTTCCTTTCAATTAATTAAAAATGATAAGTTATTCAACCGAGTAATAATTTTACAGAAAATAAAGACATTGTGAGAATTCATCTACATACATACACACAAAAGAATTTCAAATGAAAATTTGAATTTACAATAAATTCATTATCTTTCGTACATGCATATATTAGTCAATCTGAATGAAAGCTTAAAATAATATTCAAAAAATTGCGTCAGAAATCATTTCTGAATAGAAATGTCTGTTAAGCTGAAAAATTGCTCCATTTTTTATACTTTTTTCAAACATTAACAGAATTTTACTACTGTTTCTCATCTTCAAGCAAGTGTAATGAGTGAAGTGCTCATATTTTTGAATATAAATAAAATGCATATTTTTTAATTTCATTTTCGCTCATTAAGTAAACAGTAATTTTTTCTGCAAGAATTACTTGAAACTAAAAAGTTAGAATTTACTGTTTTGTTGCTTAGAAGTTTAAGACCCGAAACAGAAATAACATTTTAAAACTTGCTGTTGGCAAATTCAATCATTTTTTGTCTTCTTTCTTTGAATGAAGCCGAAAATTACTAATTTTTTCATATTCAGTATAGTATTTTATCAAATTGTAAGACATACTAATGTTTGATTATCGGTACCAATATAAACATGTAACTGTACACGTAAATACATAAATCGCAAATATACACCTTCCAAACCTGAATTTTGAAATATATGAAGCTGCAAAGTATTTTCTGTGTCTTAAAACATGAAAATTAATCCCTGTTAAGTGGCATTTTTTGGGAAGTGTGGCATAGAATTTGGATGCATGTCAAAGTGTTATGTGGTTGTTACTTTATTTTTACTTTGTTGTTTGGCCTATTGATTTTTGAGGTAATTTTTTCAGGTAAAGTTTTGATACAATTTACTCTGAAGCGTAGAAGCAAACTCATCGAGGACAACTGCTCAAAATGGAAGTAGCAGGAGGGTGAGTGACCTTTCAGCTTATAATTTTCCAGATCACCCCTTATTTCTGTAAAATAAGCTTGATTCTATTTGTTCAACCTTTTAATGCTTTCTTTATTCATATTTGGTCTTTCATTGACTTTCGTAAGTATTATTCCTTTAAGATAGAAAAGGTCATGTATTATTCCTTTAAGATAGAAAAGGTCATGTGCTCTGGAACTTTAAAGGCCGAAAATAGGTTGAATAGATATATTTCTTATCTTAAATATTGGCCTAACTCAGAATTATAATAGAATACCAGAGCATTGAGCAGCGAAAATGTTGGACAAATTTGATTCGTATTTTTGATTTCGAATTCAGATTCTCGCTTAAATGCTTATGTTTATATTGTTTGCAGAGATGAGAATATATCACGAATTCCTGTAGACTCCACTATTCCATTAGATGAAAAGTTAGATGTAAAAACAGCACTACGAAGAGCTTTAAATTCTGCAATTATTATGGATGGAGTGGCTAAAGGTCTTCATGAAGCCGCGAAAGCTCTTGATAAGTATGGTTTTAATGTAATATTCATTGTCATCACAAGCTCTTTGTTAAATGCTGGTGAAAAATTGTAATGGTAATCCGTTAATTTTTTTTAAAGTTTATGAATTGGAACTGATATGCTTCATAGATTGTAATTTGGAATTGTAGACGTCAAGCTTACTTTTGTGTTTTGGCCGAGAATTGTGATGAGCCAATGTACACAAAACTGGTCGAAGCATTATGCAATGAACATCAAATACCTTTAATTAAAATGAAAGATAAGAAGCAGTTGGGCGAGTGGGTTGGCCTTTGCAAATATGATAAAGAAGGAAAGGCTCGAAAGGCAGAGTTTACTTATTTACTAAAGAATAGAAATTACTCGCTTTTTTTCTATTTCTCTATATTTATTAACGTATAGTATTAAAGCATTAGTGATATCCTTGTGATTCTATCTTTTATCTCTTCATATTTCTGTCTTATTTATGTTCACATAAAATTTTTGAGTTAATGCTTAAATAAATCATAATTCAGGTAGTAGGTTGCTCATGCGTTGTTGTGCGAGATTATGGACAAGATGATGCAGCACGTGTTTTTCTTCAAGATTACTTTAGTAGTCAAGGGAAAGGATAAGCATTGTGGCTATTTGTTATTGTTAAGTATTTGTATGACAGAGTTGTTTACTTTTCAAATTTGATATACTTTGAAAGTACTATGCATAGTTATTTCTTTCTAGAATAAAACTTTTATAGATCAGCGTTCTATATTTTTAAAGATATCTGTGATTCAAGGTTTGCTTTTTTGTTCAGTATTTTCAAAGGTTTTGAAAAGCCTTTGAACATGTCATAAAATAAAAGTTATATTGACAGTTGTGTTTGAAGAATAGTCGTAACTCTATTCTTTAGACTTAATCCTCGGTATGTTTATTTCTATTTCATAATCTCTTTTCTTACCTATCAATTTGTTATCTTGTACTACATAGGAAATGGTAGTATATCGTTTTCATGTCTCAAAAATTAAGTGTTCGGTTCTCATTACTTTTTCATGACATAAGTATCGCTATTCATGAAAAAAGTGTATCCGTTCGAGATCATTTGTGCGTAATGGCATCTATTTGTTAAGGAGATTTGTTGAGACTTGCTAAAATCTTTCATCCATGCGATTCTGGATGCGGTTCTGTGAATTCACCATGCAGGCTTGTGGATAAATCAAAATTTCAAGCGGATGGCTATGCATAACGACGTTGTTCTTATTTTCAGGTGTTAAAGGAACATTTAATTTAGCGCATGTGGTGCTTCTGTCTTTAGAGACTCAATTAAGCTTTGTCATGCTTTCAAGTACGGAATATGCAAATGACCCATCGGTTGAAGTGTCTTGGGCACTTGAGGTTTTATTTCTTATGGATATTGGTTCTTAGTTGATTTTAGTCATTTACTTGCCCTATGTATTATTGAATTTGTGACGGGTTCTAGGCTGCTGAAAGAGCAAGGATTCACATGAGTTTGTTGCTAACCTGTAATACTGAGGAACTGAGATTACATGAAAACGAAGATGCAATTTACGAAAAATTTCGAGAAGTGTTTCCAGAAATGAAGATCGAAAAAGTGCGTTTTATTTTGTCGTTTAGTCAATAACCAAAGGTTACTATCTAATCTGTTCTTTTATAAATTATTTTTAAAGAGACTTACATCTAGGTGACAGATGTGGAATTGAAAGGGAAAAATAATAAGTTTTGGTTTGAATTTTGTGAACATTTCAAAGACGATGTAGCAGATTATAATCTTGCAACCATCATGAGGATACGAGTAAATGGAGCTTACAGTGAATGTAACACAATAATTGTTCCTAAAGTAATTTTTTCAATACCTTTGATTGCAAGATCTGATCTATTAAGTCTAGTCCAAGTAAACTTTAATAATTGATACATAGTACAAGTGCTAAACCAATATCATAGTACAAATGTAAATTGAAAAGATTAAATTTGTTTCTGTTTTACCTTTCTATATTGACCGAAAATTCGAAAGAAATTTTGTCGTTTTTAAAATTGTTAATAGTAGCTTCCATTTTATTAAATGCACCACTCCCTGACTTTAATTTTTTATCATTTTTCAGATAATTTTTTTGGCTATTGAAATAGCACGAAACAGAGAATGTTTGAATGAAAAATATAAAGAAAGTTTCAAAATGGAACATGAAAGAATCACACGTGAAGGCGGAAATATCTGTTAAAACTGTACAATTTTTGTTTTGTCTTACGTTATATTGAATTGTAACAATTGCTCTTTTGTACGTCATAACGCATGGATTTATCATGATTGTCATTCAGTATTCATAATGAAAAATAAATGAGATCCATGGTATTATTTAAATTCTTGTAATTTTGTTATTATTTGTTGAACAATAGTCAATAGTTCTTAATTTCTGTGTCTCGAATGCATTCGACTAAAGTAGTTCTCTTGCATTTCTAAATGAAGGGTTCTATAATTTGTAATAAATATAGATTGACTCGTTTTTATTTTGCGTTTGATGATAGCAATATGATTTACTGTAGTTTTTAACTGGCAAGAATGAACTGTGTTAATATTAAGCAGATAAATAATGAACGTTGCAAATAATTTTGGAGATACGAACGCCTTTTAGACGGTGTATCTTGCCGTATAATATGTTTGCCGAATATTATCAGTACCGTAATTTATTTCTGCTGTCTCAAGTGTCGGACAGAATGTTTTAATGTTTAACTGTGGTTAGCTTTAGTAGAAATTGTGACGGGTCAGTTCTTGTTTAATATTTGTGATGAACAGATTTGTGGACTCATGAAAATCTTTCATATGTGAGTAGTGTGGATCCGGTATTGTTTGTTTAGTTTACCCATGGATGCACCTTTGTTCTCTATTTAACAGGAGATTGAGATAAACTGAGGATATGAACATTAAACAAGGATAACGACAAAGAGGTTTATTATTGACTCTTATTTTAGGACAGTGATGTCAGGTTTCACTTTCGGTTTATCAGGTGCTGCTGTGTCTTCAGCACCTGCAACAAGTAGTTTGTTTGGAACAGTACAAAAACCACTATTCGGCACTCCAACAACCACTCAACCAACTGCTAGTAAGTAAATTTTCGACTGCTCTTTTTAAGTTATTCAAATTTTTTATTATGTAAAGTTTATATATCCATTATTTGTTGCAGATGCAGGTCTTTTTGGTACATCTACTTCACTAGCTACAACTTCCACGACTTCAGGTTGGATTTTTGGCATTCTGAAATTTCTGATATCCAGCTGCTCTTTAAACATTATTTTTATGTTTTTCAGCACTGTTCGGCGTGTCAGTACCCTCAACTGGTTTTTTTGGATCACCAGCAAAAACTACAGGTGATTGAAAGCATTGTATCAAAAATAGATTGCAACTTTTGTTTCACTAGTTTATGTTTAAGGTAGTTTGCTAGGGTTTGCTGCAACAACAACGACAGCAACTGGTGGATTTTTTGGGAGCCTACCAGCTACATCAGCATCAGGTTTATTTGGTTCAACGCCATCAGTAAGCACATCTGGAAGCCTTTTTGGAAGTCCAGCTCCAGGTAAATAAACATTTAAAGAGTGATATAAAATCGTGAGTTGGATAAAAAACTGTATATATTGTTTTATTATAGGTTTCTTTAGTACTCCCGCAGTTTCCACAACTACTTTGAGTGGTGGACTTTTCGGTGCAAGTGAAAATTCGGCATACACTGTTGGAAAAGGATTAGGAGGAATTGGAACACTTACAACTGTTGGTTCAGCAGCGAATGGTTCTATAGGTGTTGCTGGTGCTGCAGCATCCGGAAATCCGATGGAAGCCGAAGTTTCTCAAGTAGTCATGGGTCTTTTTAATTTGCTGCGGTAAGTTCTATTCATTACTTATACTTTAAGTAGTTTTTTAGCACGCTTATGTGTTATATTTCAGGAATCAGATCAAGAGGAACCATGAATTAAGTGAAGAATTTGCGATGTACAGCTCCGATTCTTGCTTAGAGATGGATGAAAAAATTAAAGGATTAGGAGCTATTCGTGTGAAAAGAGCTGACCTAATGCGTTCTGCTCAAACCAAAGCAAACGGTAAATAACTGTTTGTAGTAATTTTGTTTTGTATTACAAATTTGATATAATCGGAGATTTTTTTGATTTAAAGTTTTCCATATACTCACAATTTAATGTAGATAGTTTGTGGGTTTAATGAAGTTTAGAATTACTTGGAAAAATCCAGCGGGATGTACGAGCAGCGGAGCAAGTACGTAGAAGACAACGAGAAACATCGAAAAATCCTCAGTTTGGTCGAAAACAAGCTTTATCTTACTTAGTAGGAATTTGTGTGGAGCACGAAGACATAGTTCGAGAATTTGTAACAACATTAAATTTATTGGAAGAAAGAGTTATTGCTAAGTTAAACAAGGTGAACAACATTTTATGTAGTTGTTTTCATGTGAAATATTGAATGTCAAGAATTTTGTACTTTGCTTGAAATTGAAATTAGCATATTGCTCTGCATATGGACTACTCTTCGGATCATATACTAATTTGAGTCAGCAGTGTTTAAGATTTCAAAGTCTATCGATTACATTTTAGTAATTCAAAGACATAGTTGTAATTTACATGATTGCAAAATTCATTTTCTAATTCAAAGTTTTTAACTTTGAAGCAAATATAGCATCACAATTTTTAGTGCGATTTAACTTCAAAAGAAGACTTGCAAAAGCACTTTGAACATTACGATCAGTCGTTTAAAGTGATTTGTTCAGATATATATCGGTGCAAAATCCAAGTTGAAGTCTGTTTTGTGTCAATTTTTTTTGATTTCAGTGTTTATGCTTTTTGCTTCCTTTTCTGTTTGAGTATTCGTGCTTCGTGAAACTATTGTTCTTGTAATTGCCATTTGCGTCTTCTAGGATCTCAGAGATACATTTTTGGAATATCGTAGGCGAGTAA